CCACTCTTCATGCATGCTGGTTCTTTCATCATGAAGTGGTTCAACACCTCCCAGACGAGGCGAGGGATAGGTAGCCTCAATCCATCGTGGAACCACTTCTCATAAACACTAATCCAGCCCTATGCCTCCCAGTCGACTTACTCGTATGACCGCGGCGCCTAGATCTCAACCAAAATTGGAATGTGATACAAAGTCCCAATGCGCCACACATCATTGTCCTTCAGCATGGGTGGATAACCCTTGGTCAAAATCTCACTGCCTTGTTGGCTCGACTCTTCCTCAGAGCTACTACTGGACGAGGATGGACTATCGGCCCCTTTAGAGTCTTCCCCACTTCTCTTATGCCAACCCGAACCACTCGGGCTAGCCACACTCGACCCCGGGGTAGCCACACTAACTCCAGTCAGTACGCCTATCAGAACGCCCCCTCGGGCATCATCACTATGGTGGTGGCACGCTCATACTCATCAGCCACAACTCCGCTCGAACTAGCTGACTCTGACTCTGACATGATAACCTAATGGCCCAACCCGATGGACCGACTCGACTCTGACTTCCAAAGTCTCAAAAACCTAAAGTATCAAGTAGCCACTCACCCTTAACAACCGACCGAATAGAACAATGCACCCAGTCCCTGGTCCTCCTTCAACACCGGTCGACCTGCCAACGTCAACAAACTATCAACTCTTACAAGCCTAAGCTTCGATCGACCCTTTCTGCCGACTGACAGATCTAGATTCAACAATCTCCTCGCTCGCCCCAAGCGACCGACCTACCTTCAAGCTCACCCCTATGAGCCTACTCGTCCACTATCACCGACTCACCAATCCAAAGTTAAACTGCCTCACCACTACCTACTTGGTCTGGACGATCGACCAAGTCCTAAGCACTATTTCTTCACCACCCAGTCAGATAGACCGGATGACTTGCCCATCCCAGTTGACTCAAATCCAACATGCCACCCTATTCAGTCAGACAGACCGACCGAGCCGACTTAGGAATATACATAACTTATTTTCATCTTCTCGGCTCCATCCAAAAAACCCGAAAAAGACAAAAACTGCTAATAACTCACCGAAAATCCACCGAAAAATCCAAATCTACGCCTATTATAAGAATCCTTATTCTAAAACACTTCAAAACCCAATCAAAACTTCAAAAACTTCATCCTATCTTCCAAAAATTCAGCAAACAACCAAAACAAATCAGAAAATCAGCCCAAAGAGAAGAATATTTACCTCGAAAGACTGTAGAAAGAGAAACCATTGTCGCTTAAGAAACGAGAACGAAAAAGAAGGAAGGAAAGGAAAGAAAAACAAATTTGCAAGAAAATAGAAGGAAAACGCAAATAGAAGACGAACAGTCCGTTCCTCAATTTTTATGAGAAAAAAGCGGACATGTGGCAGCTTGCAATTAGTCAACAGTCAGGGCGTCTTTTCGTTTTCCTACCCTTGAAACAATGAGCTGATCGCCACCGTACACGTGGCAGCGATCTAGGGCACCTAAGTAACCGTAGCATAGTACGAAAGCTACGGTTCAGCCATTTGTCCTCCCGACCGACTCAGCCCATGACTTCCGAAATGAATCCAACATGCCTCTATGCTTTGCAGGCCCAGGAGACCCGACCGACCGATCAATCAACTAGGAACGGTCTGGCTCGAGCCCTCTCCAGATGAACAAGGCAGGAGCCCTCGCCCGTTCGATCTTCTGTAGTGAATGAATGAACAACCCCTTGGTCGAGGCCTGCACATTTCATCCACTCAATCACCCGTGTACTCCGACAGAGTGAATCTCTAGTTTAATAAAGTCCCAACTCATTCGACCCGACATGCCGAACGGACACCCCGGCTACAGAAGTGCACCTTACCTCTCTAGTCGGCTGGACATACCAAACGAGCGCGTGCTCCCCTAAAGCCTCGTTGTCTCGTTCCCTTTGGCTCTTCACATCGATCAAGCACACCACTTTGCAATGATGGCATACTCCAGATCAGTAATGGATACTGAACGATGTCCGACCAAGAATTACTTGAAACAATCGGATCAGCCACGCTGACCATCGGTTGTCCGGGAAGGATGACCGACCATGCCCCAATCGCTTCCTACTCTCTGACTTAAGAAAATCTTAACTCAGAGAGTGGGGGGCAAATTGTTAGGGCCAAAAATCATCCTTGGCCCAAACGGGAAAACAGGCCTGATAGCGAGGAAGAAGCCAAGCCCAATCCCGATGCAACCCAATCCGGATTAGGCCCATCTGATACAAGATACAACCGGCCCAAACCATTCGAGCATAAGCTTCCTAATCCCAGTTCACTTCCTAGATCCGTGAGCGAATCTAGAGCTCACGGCCTCCACAGATCACTTTCCTATTCCTAATCAATCTCCTATTCGAGGTCACCTCCCTGTTTAGATCAATTTCCGACACGAAGTTACTTTTCTGATCAGGATCACCTTCATATTCGGACGCTGGTAAGACAGCTCACCACCGCCCTAATTCCTCTAGGGTTTGCATTAGAGTCATACTAGGACCCCTATTCCCACTAGGATTGGGAGACCAAATAGTCACTATATAAGCAGAGGCCAGTCCCCTCACAAGGGACATTACATAACATTACACCTTCACACCCGAAGCTCTGACTTGAGAGCTTCACACCACTGTCGTAGTCACAGTCCCCGACTAGACTTCCGATAACCTCTCTACTCCCTAGCCCTCACTATACTAGCCTCTTTCAGCCTTGCTGACTTGAGCGTCGGAGTGCCTATGGAAAACACCACTCCGGTGTTTTCCGTTCGCTTCACGCTTGTTTCTCTATGCGTGCAGGTGTAGCGAATTGCTAGTGGCCTCAACCTCACGGGATCAGACCCCCCTTCCGTACAGGTAGATTTTTACGTCTACATTAAGCTTATGACTAACATAAAAATAGCTTTACCACCTTTAATTGACAAGATAGGGATGAACCATCCATTGTGCCCCGATAAAGTGAAGAATAAATTGAGGAGTTAAAAGACCAAGGCTCTTGGAATCAAGTTGTATTAAGGGTAAGGGGTGGCTGCCAATTTTCATACCAAAAAAAAAAAAAGGGCAAATGACATGGAGGAACAAATAAAATTAGACAGCTGAATCCCAGCTGGGAATCAAATCATTTAGAAATGAACGGACATGACACACCATTGGATGACGATGAAAATATTTATAATAATTTAATAAATTTGAAAATTGGAGTCATTAAATTTAAGAAGCAAGAGATGAAGGGTGAATTGGAATTTAGCTTAAAGACAAGGACCAAACGGATAAGCATAAAGACGCAGCCTTTTAAATCCCATAAACAAATTACAAATGTACAGCTCATCAACCATGACAAAACTCGAAGAGCGTGATATTATGGAATCTCGATACGGTCACCTTTTAGTGAAACTATTTCCATTGGTTTTCGACAAGTGGCATTTCATCACTCATTGATGGTTTATATATTAATTACGTTAAAAAGTATTTTTAGCTTTCCACCTAGGGTGTAGTGGACCCAAGTAGCTCGCCAACAGCTCGGGATCGATTCGTGATGAGCGAAAGATCGACTCGAGTATCCTCGAGTAAATGACGAGTTCGAGCACAAGTTTAGGCTCGCAAAAATTGGTTGAGCAAATGGGGCTCGATTCGATCTGCTCGCAATCTTTGCTGAAGCTTGTGTCGTCAGCCGAGTTTTTTAACTCGTTACTTGATTGATTATTCATCTGAGCTCGCGTCAAATTACAATTACCCTAAAATGAAAACTAAACCATAGCACTCTGGCGAAGAAATAGGAAAAGCGTAGATTCGCTTTCTCCTTTGGCGTAGATTCGTTCAAACCCATACACTCAACTCAAAATCTCCTTATAAACTCTCTCAAACCGCTCTCTCCTTCCACTCACCAAACACAGATTCGGTCACTCTCTCTTCTTCAAGGTTCCCTTCTCTACTTTTATATCTTTACTTTTTTTTTTTTTTTTTTTTCAATTTTAGCACTTTTCATACTGTTATGGGCTTCAGATCTGTCATTTTTAGGTTCTCTTCACTTTAATCTCTAAATCGATTGATTGGCAATTTTCGAGAATTATCTACTAAGTCGTCATCTAACGAGTAGGCACCCAAACAAGTCCCAAAGTCCAATTTTTCCAAAGAAATTGTGCAAAAGAGCTTGGCTCGAATTCGGCTCGACTTGGCTCGTCAAGTTTCGAGCCGAGCTCAAGCCATGCAATTAATTAACATAGCTGAGCTCAAGCTCACAAGCTGGAGCTCGACGAGTTCATCCCCTAACTCTACGAGCTGAGCTCGAGCCAGCCACTACTCGGCTCGGCTCGGCTCGGCTCGTATGCACCCCTACTCCCACCTTAATGATCTTTACCCATTTTTTTAATTTTTTTTTTATTTCGACAAATTTAATCTTAATTTAAGTTATTAAAAATAACACTATAATTTCTAAATATATTCATACTTTATTTTATATTTTTGTTTTAATTTTTAATATTGAATTTTATATAAACTTCATAATCATTGAAACCTTTAGTTTTATTTTAAGCATTTGCTTGTTTAATAAAAATATAAAATTAAAACTATGTAAATATAGCAAAATGAATCGGAATCTAAATAAGAGAAAATAAGTTGAAATTAAGAAATTGAGAAAAAAATGTGTAAAAAAGAACCCAATTAAAAAGAACCCAAAAAAATCTAATTAAGTTTGAAATTGAGGAAAATAAACCTAATTAAGCTTAAAGGGTTGTTTACGATATTAAATGGGATTTATAGAGATTTTTTTTTTTTTTAAAAAAAAAAAATTATAGATGAGGTGTGCTCCCAATCCAAAGTCTCTTCTTAATGAGAATATTTGCAATAAATATGTAAACATTTGTTGATTTATATTATCTTTAGAAGAAATGAATGAGATGGGCTGCAAAATTTCAAGTTATTTGATAATGTATGAGCCCAAAATCGTATTGAGTCTGACGAGATCTAATAACGAAATAAATATATGGTTCGTATTATATTCCCTATTTTAGGAGGACTTGTAGTTTTGATTGTGATAATTGGGAAGTACTTCATTAGGCAAAGACAAAAGAGGGACATAAAAGAGCAGCGAAATACTGTGAACACTCATGGATTACTTTCAATTTTAAATTTTGAGGGAAAACTTATGTATGAAGAAATTATAAGAGCCACAAATAATTTTGATTCCGAATATAGCATTAGTAGTGGTGGCTATGTAAGTGTTTGCAAAGCAGAACTACCATTAGGGAATGTTTTTGCTATTAAGAAATTTTACTCACAACATCCTATGGAGATGGGCAATCAAAAAGTGTTCTAGAACGAAATAAGGGCATTGACAAAGATACAACATCACAATGTCGTAAAATTTTATGGGTTTTTCATTTCTGATTTATGGATGCCTTGAAAGGGGTAGTTTGGCCACAATCTTGAGCAATGAAGCTGATACAAAAGAATTGGGTTGGAGGAATCGAATGAATATTATGGAAGATGTAGCCAATGCTTTGTCTTACATGCACCATGATTGGCCCTTGCCAATTGTCCATCGAGACATATCAAGCAAGAATGCGGCATACGAACCTCATGTTTCGAACTTCGGAACTGCGAAATTTCTCAAACCAGACTCATCTAGTTGGTCTAAACTTGTAGGGACATATGGATATGTTGCACTAGGTATGCAATTCTTTTATTTTTATCTTCTATTATCATCTAATTTAAACAATATCGATACTACATAATCATATTTATCTTTCATTTATAGAGCTTGCTTACACTATGAATATTACTAAAAAATGTGATGATTATAGCTTCAGAGTCTTAATATTGGAAATAATTAAAGGGAATCATTCAAGAGATCTTCTATCCTCATTTCCATCATTGTCTTCCAATGTGAATTTACCTCTAAGTGATATGTTGGATCCACGACTTGCAACTCCCTCACGTGATGTCCAGGACAAACTCATATTCATCATGGAGGTCACTTTTTCTTGCTTAGATGCCAACCCAGAATCTAGACCGGACATGTAGATTGTTTGTCAATGATTATGCAACTAAGCTTCTTGTTCTTCACCAGGTAGTCATCACGCATCAAACTATGTATATTTATTCGGTATCCTATCGTGTTAGCTAGGCTTTTGGTTGAACTGGTGAGTGTTGCCCACCCATTTGAATAGCTTTGAGCCCGACGTAACAATCAGTTGTTCCGTCAAATAGTTCAAAATTCTATTATTGGGAGCTCTCTTATTACTTTATGTTGTAAGAAATATTGTATTATATTATGTGTTGTTGAAATCTTATTTAGTCCTCTATTAAAATACTCTGTTTCTATATAATGTGTTGTAAAAATGCGAGTTTCCAGGTTTCTTATGTAATTTATATTCCATCTATATTTTGTGTGATTAATTAGATTTATTCTATTAGATGGATACATTTATATTCGTGGCTGTATTAATAATAGTATAAGAGTCTGAAGCATTTTGTTCACATAATCAAACTAACCAATGTTATGGAAAGATACTCTGCTTCATTATCCTATATTTGATCTTTCACTTTGCGGCATGGACGGAGCCACATTGGGACAAGGGACGGAGCCACATTGGGACAAGGGAGTAGATGCCTCCCCCCCCGGGAGAAAAAAAAAAAAGAAAAAAAATTCATTTTTTTTTTTTTTACCAACATTCTTATAATTTTTTTTTTCTTTCATTATTACAAATATTAGCATTTCTTTTAAGGGATTAGTAACTTAAACCCCCAAAGGTTTAACCTAATTTGATTATCCCTTGTGGTCCTGGTAACTACTCTGAACTCCTGCCATCAGACCCCCTAAATTTTCTTAGGTTAGTTTTAACCAAATGAGGATAAATGACCTTAATGCCCTCATCTGCTTGGAGCCCAACGGTACAGTCTGCTGCTTTATCAGAGAGCTCAAATTCCATTATTGGGAGCTCTTATTACATTGTATTGAAAGAAATATTGTATTATATTTATGTTACTGAAATCGTGGACTACATATTTGTAAAGACAAGTTGAATTATTTAGTACTCTCTTATAAACTCTGTTTCTTAATATTTTGTTATAAAATGCAAGTTTCCAGGTCTCTTATATATTCCATACCCTTTTATATACTCTATTATGTTTTTAAACTCATCCAAAGAGGTCATACTCCTGAGCCATTATGTCAAGTAATGCTTTGTGTTGATGATCAAGATCGCTCCACAAAGTTGTAAGAAAAAGAATTAGGGATAAAAAAAGAAATAAAATAAAAATAAAGAAAAAAAAAAATTTTAAAAGGAAAAAAAAAAAAAAAAAATAAAAATAGAAAATCAGATGTATACGAAAGGGAATGGAGGAAGATTTATTTCAGGAAGCATAAAATGTGGAATTATCTCTTTGACGATTTCTGGGGCTTGTTGAAACACCACTAGGACACATTAAGTCTTGTTACTGTCAAGTACTAAAGTACAATTTTGAGGAATAAATAAAATTAGCTCCAGGATAACTCAATCCAAATAGCTCTAATTTGTTCATCAAGATCATTTCAGTTCTGGAAAATTTATGTCATGCTTTAGAGTTTCAAAACAATTCATAGCTTAAGAGTAAACAGAGGTAGTTGTTTGAGTATCTTCTGTTAAGTAAAGTTATTTAGCTTGTTAGTTTCAGCTGAGCCAGAGTGTAATTTTCTACCTAAAATGTTTGAGCTATTTTTCAATAAATATTACAGTCACAAATACAAAAATCTAACTTCTTGTCTTTTTCAACCTATATTTCTAGTCTCCGAAAAACCAAAATAAATCCATGTTCTTTGTATGAGATTTATTGCAAGTAGGAGCTAAAGAATTGGGCTAGAGTGAGACAGTGAATGTTCTCATCGAAAACCAACCAAGCCAGGCATCCAACTATTATTAAATTGACATATGCTAGAAGCTTAAACTACTAGTCAATAGTTAGAGAAGTGTAAACCACAGTTTAATAGAAGGATCGACTTTGAAAGTCGAATGTGAAAAAGTGATCCACTAGTGGAAAAAGTTCCAGTTAACTTATTTCTCCAAAGATATGTGAGCCCTGATTTTCCCAATCAATTAATACAAGTCAATGAATTTCATACCTAATGTAATTCATAAGCAAGGGCGGAGCCAAGGAATAGACGTATATCTTGGAAACGCTTTGTAACTTGTGAGCAGGGGCAGAGTCGATGGAAGGATATATAGTTGGAGACAATTTGTAACTGGTGAGCACGGTTAAAATCTTTGGGTAACTTGAGCAACTTGGGATGATTGTATCTTCTTAATAATTCACTTTCTGAATCGAACTTGAAATTCTTTCTTATTTATCCTCTAGTAATAATCAACTTAGCCAATCAACTTGTGGAAATTGTACTACTTGAATCTAAAGTAACAAGCAACTTAGCCAAGGAATTACACTTGAATTTGGTAAGTTAGGTCAACTGTCAAAGCTAGATTTGTGTCAAAACTTGCTCAAAGGAGAGATAACGTTTGAAATCTGCAAGTTGGATAGCTTGGAAAGCCTGAATCTTTTCCACAATAAGCTTTATGGTATAATTCCAAGTTGCTTTGGAGTAATGAATGCTTTGTCAAGCATTTACATATCTTAAGAGTTGTGGGGTCCAAATCCGAATAGCAAAGCATTTCAAAATGCCCCATTGAAGCATTGCAGGGGAACAAAGGATGTTGTGGTGGTGCTACTGGATTGCCATCTTGCGAATTAGCTTTTAAGTCACACAAACATACATTAGGAAAAACCTGGGCTATTGTATTCCCTCTTTTAGGTCGACTTGTACTTTCAATTGTCGTAATTGGAATGTACTTCATTAAGCAAAGACAGAAGAGCAACACAGAGAAGCACCAGAGTATTGTGAACACTGAGGGATTACTTTCAATAATAAAATTTGAGGGAAAACTAGTACCTGAAGAAATCATAAGAGCTAAAAATGATTTTGGTCCTAGATATTGTATGAGTAGTGGTGGATATGGAAGTGTTTATAGAGTAGAACTACCATCGGAGGGACATTTTTGCTATTAAAAAACTTCACTCATCATATCTTAAAGAGACTGGAGATCAAAAAGAGTTCTTAAAGGAAATAAGCACCTTTGATAGAAGTGCGACATTGAAATGTTGTGAAATAGGCACCTTTTGCTTCAATGCTCAATATTTTTAATATACGAATGTGTTGAAAGGGCCAGCTTGGCCGAAATATTGAGCACTGAAGTAGAAGCAAAAAGTATTGGGTTGGAGGAAGAGAATGAACGTTATACATGGTGTAGCACATGCCTTGTCTTACATGCACCATGATTGCTCCAAACCAATTGTTCATTGAAACATAATGAGCAAGAATGTGTTGGATTTGGAATACGAAGCTCATGTTTCTAACTCTGGAACTGCCAAATTTCTCAAGCAAGACCCATCCAATTGGTCTGAACTTGCAGAGACTTATGGAAAACTTGCATCGGCTATGTAATTCTTTCATTTTTCATCTGCTGTTATCAACTAATTTACACCATCAGATGCTACATAATCTCATATATCTTTTATTTGTAGAGTTTGCTCACACCATGAATGTCACTGAAAAATGTGATGTCTATAGCTTTGGAGTGTTACCACTGGAAATAATCAAAGGGAATCACCCAAGAGATTTTCTTTCCTCATTTCCACCATCATCTTCCAATGTGAATTTAAGTCACACTGATTTGTTGGATCTATGACTTGCAACTCCCTCACATGATGTCTTAGACAAACTCATATCCATGATGGAGGTTGCTTAGATTCCAATCCAAAATCTAGACCAACTATGCAAGTTGTTTAACAAAAATCAGCTTGTACTAGGCCATGAAATTGTCTTGTTCACGATGTTAAGGGCTAGCCAAATTGCTGTTGGGACTTATTTTTCTTCATTTTGGATCATTATATGCTCTCTGTATTTGTATGTTTACTTTAATACCAGTGTGTTGTCTTTATTATTATTCAATAAGTTTCCTCCTTGTTTGGAGGTTTGCCAAACAAATTAGCTTAATATGTCAAAACCAGTTAAATTTAATTCGACTGTATGCGTATTTTTTCAGAATACATAAAATCACCTCCAGTATAGCTCAAGTCTAAGTTCCAATCAGCTCAAGATAACTTGGATTTATTCCAATGAAAGAGAAGCAAAAGAAGTGCGGAGGAGTATTGCATGCCTTTTCTTACAGTCACCGTGATTGTGTGCTCTCCACTAATTGTCCAATATGTGGCTGGCAGCCTCTCATTGCCACGCAAGGCCTTGACCTCAGTGATGGATCTAGGCCGTGAAGTGGCAGCTACGTCGGATTGAGGTGTCGGTTTGGTGGCTTTTGTATATGGTGGTCACATAGGAGGTTTTGTTTTATTTGTCATTTTTTTTCTTCCAATAATATAATTATCAGCTTGGTAAAATCAACTTGATTTATAAAATATGACTTGAATAAGATATATGAGATATGAAAAATAAAGAGAGCAATAAGACAATCATACAAATAAGAATATTTTTCTATTTTAGTGCGAGCACCACTACAATATTTAATAAAAAGCAAGTTTCATGGGGTACAATATATTGAATCTTTCCTCGGCCATTTTGCTTTCTCCATCCTTTAATCATTCTTCTTGATTGGCTTTACGGAATGAAGAAATTTGGAACATGATGGGACATTATATACACAATTATCAGTCTTCTTAATTATAGCTTTGCTTTTAAAATATACAAAGCAGAGGAGACACCCTGTTTTATGTACAAAGCAAAGGAGACTTTGTTTTTTAAGATTTAAAAAAACAACAATATATATAATTAACAACATGTATTATTTGTTTTCATTTCAGAAAATATGCTTAAAGAAACGTAAAACTTCAACAGATAAAGCAAAATTACAGAGAGATTTTGAGAGAAATTGTAGACTTTTTCTTCATAATGAGGTTCACACCAAAATATGAAAAAAATGAGGAGACTAATTGATTGTGATGTATTCCTCTGTTCCATCCTGCAGTAAGAATTTATCCCATATTATAGAAGATGTCAATCTTATAATCAATATTCAATCTCAAATGAAAATAACTATTAGATTCAAGACCAAGATAGGATAAATTCTATGACTATGATTCTTCATGATTTTAGTGATCCCTCTTTTCCTTTCTCCAATGGTTATCACAACATTTCCAACATCAAACTAGGTAAAATCAACTTGATTATATCACCTGTCTCATTTCTAGGTGGGTATGGGAGAAAGCGACCTTATACAGGGGCATACTTTATACAGATTTTAGAATTCTAATTAGGTCTAAAAGATACGAAAAATAAATAGACAATCACACACGCATAAGAACACCAAATTTACGTGGTTCGGCAAATTATGCCTACATCCACGGAATGGGAGTCAAATGACTAAATAGGAAATAAAAGTACATGTCTAATGCACTCATGTTAAAGCCTAAACCCAAACCCAAAAGCCTTGTACACCCATCTCTCATATTTCTTTTAACACTCTCCCACTTTTTGCTCGCAAATACCAAAAGGTGAAACTTTCTTCTATAGTGTTTGGCTCTTATCAATTAGAAAGACCTCACAACTCAGAACACTCCTATACAATTTCTTAACAAATTAATTTTCACTGGAAGAAGAAACTGTCTCAACTCAAGTGCCTACATGGTTGCCCTGCCACTGCAGTTTTTCAGGCTTCACATTCCTCTTATCATCACATTAAGTTTATTGTACCATGGAGACTGAATGGAGCACCCAAGTTTGTGAAGCAATGATCTGATGGTTAGTGGCCTTAACCCTCTTCAGATTTCAAATCTCAAGCCATGTTGGCTAAATCACTTGCAAAACAAAGAACAAAAAATTATGAAAATGACAACTGAAAAAATATGCAAAACAGTTAATACAATAGCTACCTTTCAATGCAAACATGTCAGCTACTGCACTGACAAATAACAAATTTCTTAAGTGAAGACTAGAAGTGAGTGGGTAAACCATATATTTTTACCTTATCTAGTTTCGTCAAGAGACTTCTAGCCATCTATTCTCTCTTAAATGGACATGGTTTATTCTGGACTGGTCTTCCCTTTTCTTTGTTGCACCAAGCTGTTAATTAACAATGGACAAATAAACATCAGTATTGGTACTACAACTAGGCAAACCAAAAACAGGAGAAGATTTCTAGTAAGAAATTACTTAGGGGACAGGCATCAATAAGACATTTGGTAAGGACTTGAGATTCAAACAGAGGACATCTTCTGATCTTCAGAAGTTCAAGAGATGTAATATTGGAGATTTTTGTACTTTTTGATATCCTGCAGGAATGATGCAACTATGTTATCAATACAGAGATCTCAAAATCTAAAAGATTTCTCATCCAAGTTAAACGTCTTACCACCATAGGAACTGGTCACAAACTCAGATCTTTATTTGGTTATAGCTATTGTAGGCCACATATGCTTCAAGTCTTTCACCCAAGGTAACGCATCAATCTATCAAAGCTATGTCAATTTCATCACTCCAATCCTAGGATTCACCTTGAACATTAATAAATACAATTAAGTAGACATGCTCTGGTAGAAAAAAAGGCATTCATGTTGAAAAAAATGTAAAGACAAGTCTACTTAACATGAGAAAGAATATCTCACGTGCTTGCAGTTAATGAACATCAAATATTTCAACCGGTTCTTATATAGGATATGTAAATGTCCATTACTTGATTTTGCTCTCATCATTTCCTCCTATAAAAATGAATAGGACAACCAAAATTAGTATAACTCATGAAGGTAATGAAGCCAGCAATGAAGGAAATATTTAGTAAAAGAGTTAACTATGGCCATATATCATTTTACGGTTTTCGCTTTAGCCAGATTGTAAACCAATTTATTCCAACAAAATTGTTTTAGCACTTCATTCTCTTGCTATACATTAAGCAAATATAAGCAAGGTCTTTTCTCAAGCATTGAGAATTTTAAAATAAAAGAAAAACATAACCATTACCTTTTTTATGGACTCGGTCATGGTGCTTGCCAAGCCTCTTTTTAAAAACAACACCTTCATCTTACCAAAGAGAGTTGCTTTTAGTACAAAGGAGTTACCTTAAGAATTAAGCTAATTTTGGGCTTATAAGGACAGCTTTATCCTCAAATCTTCACCTTCTGATCCTAAAACCATTAAAACCGAGTTTAGCAATCCTTGTTTTAACACGACATTTGATAAACCCCATATGTAAAGCAAGGATAAGATACAGAATGTGTGGTTAGACATGCGAAACAGAAATGATTTCAAATCATCACTTGTTAAAAGTTTAGATATAAAAGGTGTCCGCTATGCTTACATGAAATTGGAGAGGGAAAATTTAAGCCTTCCCAATCGTAGTCTACTTTCATTCCCCCTCAATCAAAACGAAGTGATCATCTGAAATGAAACTCCTATCTAACAACCATGTAAAATAATCGAACTTTAGCAGATATATGTATCAATTATTGAAAATATCACAAAATTTTATATTGCCATTAAAATTATAGAATAACAAGACCATGTTATGATAACAATCTGGAAAACAGTTTTAGATGTTAGAAATTAGCAAACCTGGATTGAAATGAGACAATTATCTGATTGATTCTTCAATTTGAATCCAAAATAGTTCAAAGTTTTGCCTCTTAATGTTCTTCCTTTGAATGGCAGATGTGTAACTCATCTGAATCACCGAAAAATGAAAATATCAAATTCTACATATATATTATCAACAACATATGCACAATATTCTTTTTCTGCCTATATTATTCTACACAACCTCCTGATGTCATTTATATGTTTAATTAATAATTTCATTTAGAGATAGTTTTAATAGTTAAAATAACGATAATTTAATGTAATTTATTATAAAAGAAATAATAAAAAGAAGAACTTAAAAATTAATGATAAACCACTTATTGTATGTATATTTTTTTGACATTTTATATTTAAAAAAATACTTATTGATCAAACTAAAAATTTCAATATCTTTTTACTAATGTTTTTAACTATCAATAAACTCTATTTCTATTGCAATAATAATAATTTGATTTTAATTATTTTATCTGGATATGAATTCTAAAATACCACTCATGTATCACAATTCAATATTTGGGAGATGATTGGGTCTGGGAAGGCCTGGGGTGGCGTGAGGCCGTACCAGTAATTGGTTGCAAATTCTTATTATTATTTAATTCGCTATTAATATTCACATTCTGCACCAAAACCGTTTCAACTTCACTTATAAAAATTGAAAAAATGAAAGCAAGGAGATGAAGAATTTGCTTGTATCAGTTGCCTATTAACCTAAAACTCATACTCCAAATGAACTGAGTTTTATCACAAGGTATAAAATTAAAGTTAATTTAATCAACAAAAGTTGCATAAAATTACCAGTACACAGTACCATTGTGATTGTATCCTTGACAATTATCTGGCAAATTAAAATAAAGAGTAACTTATTAATACTTGAAATTAAGGCAGAGGATAAAAACAATACTATCTTAATATAAAAAATTCAACTAATAGTCGAGGTGTAAGTAAATCACAAACCTTGATGATTATCTGACTACATCCTTGAATTCACTTAATTAAGCTCAATTCTCCTCCTTTGAATTGAAGATCAAATTGGAATCTATTTCAACTTTAGGGATATGAGCTATCTTTGAGCAATACTTCCCTTTTCCTCTTCTCCACTGTTTTTTTAGCAATGGACATTCGACAATATTTAATTCCAGAAGCGAAGGTGGCAGGCTTGGCAAGGATTTGAGCTTTAGGGAATACCAGATCGTCAAGGTTTGAAGAGAAGTGAGGCTTCCCAGGCATGCAATTGATTCAAGATTTGGGCAATCCCAGATCTTCAAGGTTTGAAGAGAAGTGAGGCATCCCAGGCATGCAATTGATTTGAGATTTGGGCAACTCCCAATTATGAATTCTTCAATGGAGGTGTGGCTTTCCAGATCTGAAATTGATTTGATCTTTAGGCAACTCTCTATCCGGAAGCTTTTAAGTGATACGAGGCTTCCTAGGTCTGGAATTGACTTGAGATTTGGGGAATCCTCAATTATCAAGTCTGTAAGAGAAGTCAGTGTGCCCAAATCTGAAATAGATCTGAACGGTGCGAAATTAGAGATCTTCAAAGATTCAAGAGAAATGGGCATTTGCTGGTCCTCCGATAGAATAAGCTCTGGATCTTCAAACCCCTTAATTTGAAGATGTTTAAGAGAGGTGAGATTGTGCAATCCCCATCTAATCAGTCTCTTACTAATTTCGACCTCTTCCCCAATGCTGAAGTCCCAAGAATCATGTAGTGTTAAATATTCAAGACCGGTAAGATTCTGTAGGCCGAACAATCTATTGGATTCAAGATTTTGAAGACCCACTAACTGTACAGCTTGAAGACGGGGGCTATTATTAAATGCCTCTTCTAGTGACTTTAGCTTTGGACAATCATAAATACAGAGGATCTCAAGTGATTCATGTACGCACCACCTTGTTGATAATAATGTTGTGAGATTTCGACACCTATAAATACAAAGACTTTTGAGTGTCTTAGGCAACAATGCTCGTGATGATAGGCACATGAGAGACTCGCAATCGGAAATAGACAAGTACTCGAGAGGAGTAGAATTGATGCCCTCCAAATGTTGTAATTTCTTACAACCCCATATACTAAGGCTTTTTAGAGACGAAGGCAGTGTGTTTCTTGCAATGAATAATAGAGAATCACAATAATCAATTCTCAAACTTTCTATGTTGTTTTGCTTCAATCTTTTCGGCATAGATTTCAGAGCCTTGCAATTTCTAATTTCAAGATCACTCAAATTGGGAAGCAAAATGGTGTTTAGAAATGAGATCCTACAATTTCCGATACACAAACTTTTAAGAGAGGTGAGGCTATGACTCCATTTTAGTGGCTTCTCAACACAAGTGAAATCTTGACTCAACCAATTTTCAGACCCTACAATGTTTAGAAGAGATTCAAACTTAGGTGACATGAACTCCGTAGAACTACTAGTACACACTACTTCCTTGCACTCATCAATTCTTAAATAGGCGAGCTTTGGAAAACTTGAGAATGAAACCGTCCACTTTGCACACTTTAAAATATGAAGTTCTTCCAATGAGGGAAGATGATCAAGCAGTTCTATGATAAGTTCAGGACATTCAGTAATGGAAAGCTCACGAAGTTTTGGGAAATTTTCAACATTCTCATTTTTCCCTTTGGTGTCCCAATACTAACATGTTTGCAAATTCAAAAAACAAAGAAACTCTAATGAATTGTAAGGAATTAGCATATTTATTATTTCTAGTTTAGGCATCCCAAAGATGACTAACTATTTAAGTGAGCTCAATAAGTTTTCTGAAGGCAAACTTGTGCAATGTTCACAATTTTCTAATTTAAGGACCAACAATTTAGTGAGCAATGACGAAGTGCTTAACCAAGATGGAAAATCTAAACCACCATATGATCTAATTGCTAGTTTTTCTAGATTGCTATGAGGTTTCAACATTTCAAGCACATCATTTTCTTCTCTCTCTACTCGTGGGCCATCAAATTCAGATCCCCACTCAAATGACAACACTTTTAAATCTTTTTTATTGCTTATTATGAGCCCACCTATTTGCCTTACATTATTCACATTCTCTAATTTGGAAATGTGAAGCTCTCCTTGAAGAAAACTTAAGCTCTTCAAATCTTCCAAATTTGAGCCCGATTCCTTCCCCACAATAAAGTTAGACAACATTTGGAGATTTTTCAACTCTCTCATTCTTGACGGCATCTCTTTTAATGAATTTCGACCACTTATATCAAGATGATATAGATTGGTCAAATATCTCATGTTGGAAGGTAACTTTACGAGACAAGAACAATCTTTTACTAATAAAGTTTGCAAGTTAAATAATTGGCTTGTTGACTCAGGCAAACTTTTGATCCTAGTGTAAGAAAAGTTGAGATACCTTAGATGTATCAAATTTCCAATTGAATCAGGTAAATGAGTGATGTGATATCTTTTTAAAGATAATACTCTCAACTTTTCTAACTTCGGCAACAAATAGAAAATAACAGTAGCACTTACATAATGGTCACTATAACTTACATAATTAGGCAACATGAAAACCGGTAAGAATGTTCTTAGACTCTTAAGTTTTTCCAAGCCTTCAAATTTCTTTCCTATACCATATACATCAGGAAGATAAGAAAAATGACGAGTCCTTTTCACATTTTTTGGTAGTTGGATAATGGCTTTTTCAGATCTGAAACTGAATTCTTTAGAAACTAATTCAGCTAAGTCGTGGATAAGATCATGTTGTACATGTTTAGAATCATCATTACTTGATTTTTGAAAAAATGATCTTAAACACAAATCATTAAAGTACTGACCTGCCACATCCAGTTGTGTATCAGATGATTGAACAATACCTTCTGCCACCCATAGAAGTACAAGTTCCTCTTCCTCAAATTCGTAGTCTTCTGGAAAAACCGCACAATATGCGAAACATCTTTTTAAATGCGAAGGGAGATAGAGATAACTTAACTTTAATACGGGGAGGATATCTCTTTCTTTCCATATTCCGCTGTCTAATATTCTTTCCCAAATATTAATCTGCTTACAGTGTAGAAGACCACCGAGGGTCTTTGCTGCCAGAGGTAGACCACTACACCTTTCAAGAACTCTCTCACGAATTGAATCCGTAATTAGATCAGCATCGGTAGCTGTATCAGTAGCTAGTGCATGCTCCCGAAACAAGGACCAACAAGCTTCATCAGATAAACTCTGTAAAGCATAAGTATCAGAATCCGGGCATCTTATTGTTTGAGCAACAGATTTATCGCGTGTTGTGACGATCATCGTGCTTCCAGATGCACCAGCTTTGAAGGGAGACTTAAACTGTTCCCATTTATTGTAGTCCACCTTCCAAACATCGTCTAATACTATCAAGAATTTTTTCCCATTCACTGCCTTCTGCAGTTCAACTTGCACTCCGTTTAAATCATTTGGATTGGAGGATGAAGAGTGTTTTAATGACCCAAGTATATTCTTTGAGATAGTGAGAATATCAAAATTGTGTGAAACACAGACCCATGCTTTGTCAAACTCTAAACCTTCCAGGTCCTTGTGATGGTACACCGCTCGAGCAATTGTCGTTTTGCCGATCCCTCCCATGCCGACGATGGCTATCACTCGAAATTTATTGGCACCACTTGGTTGATCATTTTTCACCAGTTCAAGTAGTTTGGCTTCATCTTCATCTCTGCCATGAACTTCTTGTTCAGGTCGGACGCTTGAAGTTTCCTCAGGCCTTAGGCCCTCTGAAACAGCACTTGATGTCCCTCCTGTGATCTCCTTCCTCAGATCAAAGGCTGCTAATGTTTCCTTGCGGAGTTGTTCCAACTGGCTATTGATTTTTTTGATCTTCAACGACATGCTGAAATTGAACCTGGGTCTAGTAACGACGTTCAGTGCCTTGCTAGAGCTGGCCTTATGTTCTTCTGCCTTCAGGTGGCGACGCAAAGCTGATTCATAGGCAAACTCATCCAGTATGTCTTCTGCATCATAAGCCCAGTTTTGAAGTTCGGCAAGCCGGCTTTTCACAGCTCTTTCTGACAGTTGCTTTTCTTCAGCATCACTAAGCAGTTCTTTAATATTCTCCAACGTAGTTTTCAGTTTTTCTAACTCTGAATCTACCCCTCCAAAGAGTTGACGAGCAAATGACCACACCTCATCGGTCCCCAATTTCTTAACCAACTCCTCCAAGAGCGCAGAGACAATGGGCTCCGCCACAACTTCCATGGTTTCAGTTGTCGGAAAGAAGAAAGAAATTCGGATATTGTCACAAGAACGATGAGCGCAAGCAAAGACGAAGTGTTTAATTTTCTCTAAGAATGCTTGAAATTGAAGTGCTAAATTAAAACATTTTACGTTTTTAGTGAGGGAAGTGGGAACCACTCAAATAATTGAATAATTAACATAACTTAGAGATGATTATTTGTTATTATTCATCATGTTATAAATTATTTTTCATTATTTTTCTTTGATTATATAGTTATCAAAGTGATCATAAAAATATTCAAACCTTTGATTATTTGTAGAACATTTTGCTCGTACACAAATGTATAATTTTATTTCATTTTTTCCGTTATATTGTTTAAAGATATATAAAATTAAATGGATTGTATGATACAAAATTCAAATTTGGTTATTAATTAATTTGCTAGGCTTATGTAAAACTCTATTAATTAATTGCAAGAAAAGAAAACAAGTTTGAATAGAAAGACAAAGATGAGTAACATGAAACAACAACCATTCTAATCCCTATTAGGAGAGCCGCGTGGACTTGGCCAATTCATATTAACATTCTCATGAGCTTTTTGACAAATGGGTAAAAGTGATAGAAAATCTTTCTAATGGACCAACCAGATCAATAATTCTAAGCTTTTTGACAATTAGGCGAGAAAATTGAAAAAGTGGATAATAGACTAAAAGTAAAAAATAATATTATATTATTGTGTGAGATATAGCTCGACACAACATAAGCTAGTAGCAACCAACCTTGGCAATTGTTCGACAAATCAGAGATAAGCTCAAATCTCGGATATTTCGGAATGGATGAGACCAACAGCAATGATAGCGCGATCTTAATTATGAGAATATTAGAATTGCATTTTGATTTTGATTGTAATCCTGATAATTTATCTCTTTCCTTTGTCAAATACTTGTATATAAATCCTCTCAAATGTTGAAAGAGGGGTTAACAATTTGTTCTAGGCATTTGATATTATTCTTGTAAGCTCTCTAAAGCAATAAGAAAAATAGTAGATGTAGGCTTAAATTCTAACTTGTCGAACCACTTAAAAAAATGTTTGTCATTTTTTACTTTAATGCAATCATATTTATTACATTACTGATTTAGAATAATCATACACACATCGATTCTGATTTCACTAAGGTCAATCGGATCAATTTGGTTAGTGTAAATTTTGCATATATATATATATATATATATGAAAGATGTGTCAATGAATTGATGAAAAATAAAGCCATATTAAATGTATATATTAATTTATATAATTAGTTTATATATATAATGCAACCCAAAAACAAATAATGGAAGCAATTGTAAGGAAATTTATTGAAAGATGATTATAACAAGTCTTTGTCAAGTGTGAATGATGGTGTCCTCATTGGATCCAAGTGGACCGTAATTTGCAAGTTATAAAAATTAGAATTACAAAGAGAAAATGTGAAAATAATATTATGCAGGTGCAGTGAGAAATAAATTACTTTAGGACCGATTATAGGCGAGGAATTGGGTTGGGATGGGGTAAAAAGGCAAAGTAAAAAGGAAAGCGTGGAACCCCTACCCTATCTGTCCGTCATCGCCTCGGATACCTCGCCTTCCCTAAAAGTGACACGCCTCCTTTACTTTGATTCCTTTTTCATTCATTACAAAATTTATAATTATTTTCTTTTTCTGATTGTATTTGTACCATACTACAATCTTTCTAATCCTACGGTCTATAATGGGGTTCATGTTAAGGCTACACACAACTAACACCATCATACTCAAAATCTAATGGCGGAAATTTTCAACTTTTTATACCGAATTTGAATCCCAGGTAGGAGGTGTTAACATCAGAAGGATCTGGTAAATCCAACAGTAGATATTGGAGTTCAAAATTTTGATTACATACAAACATAATTTGATAACATAATATATACATACACAACTAGCAATGAGATGGACTTAATTAAGGCTTAATTAATTTTGATTGACAATGAGTTAATTCTCATGAATCTCATCCATTGCTTCATACTGTCTCACTCTTATTAAGAACTATTTAAGAAAGGCATAATAGAAAGTGTTATCAAATTGTGAGTATTAACGGAATATAAACTTTGGGTGGAAAAATGGTATTTTGAAACTTTTTTTGTGGGAAATTGTCATTAAGGCAAACCTTGGTAGGAAAAAGTTGTTTACTCAATTGTGAAAACATAAAATTTAATTGTTGATTTAACATTTTACAAAATAATAGTTCAAATTAATAGAATTTAATTGTTAAAAGTGAATTTGATAGATAACAATACAAAACACATGAGGTTGTTACTTATGAGGTGCAAGGAAATATCAATGAAGTGTGTTACATATGTACTAGTCACAAATCATACTAACACACATGACATGTAATCGCTTTCAGATTGATGCATGCACCAAAGATTATTCGATCAATTAAGAGATATTTGTTTGGTGTGATTAGATACCATCATATATATCAACACCAAAGAACTAAAATAAATCTTTGCTTTTTTTTTTTTTCTTCTAAGATTTGATTATGAGATCAATCATACTGACACTTTGAAAGCTTATATATATGATTTCTTATAAATAAAAATTATTGTGTGGAGGACTATAACATCTTACTATTCTAATTTTTAGTGTGGGCACCACTAAAATAAAGTCTACTACATGCGTAATTACTCATATAGTATCATATCAACACGCATTAGGCAAAGACAATGAATAGTGACATAACCTTAATTAATTAATTAACTAAAATAATATAATATCAAGAATGCTTGTAACTTTAATTAGTGGATTAAATATTTCTTCTTTCTTCTATATATTAAGTCTGCATTGATTGAGTATAATTAAAGTAGATTTGGAAATTTACATTGTGACTTATTATGGACTTGTAAAATAAATATTTATTGGAAATTTATAAATTAATAAATACCGACATATGTCCAATCCCACTCAAATTTTCTAAAACTAAATTCAAGAATCTTCTACTTTCCAAAATTATATAAATTGTATTTATTTATTTTCAAACTGTTCATAAAGAATTGATTAGATAAAATATATAATAAACTTCCTATTGGGTTCATTTAATTTTTTTTAAAGCCTTTATTTATAATTTACATTAATTAATAATAACTATTTTAAAAGAGAATTTGAGGAGGATTCATCTAATAAATGTCCACTCCTCAAAACATTATAATCATAAAATTGTTTGAGTTAATTTAATCACATGTCTCACCAAAATATTTTTATTTACAATTACAATATTATCTATGAAACAACATTAAAAGTTGCTAAAGTTTAAACATAACTGATTGAAAGAGCCATTCATTGACAAATAAATAAATAAAATAATTACAATGAAATTTAACTTGTACACTAGTAAATGATTCTTTAACAAATGTTAAAAGGTATAAATTTTTGTCACAATGGACATAAGATTAATCGACAATTGGATATTATTAAATAACTATTTATTGACGTACTCATGAGACTATATATAAATATGAAAGTTCTATAAATGACTGTAAATTATCAAATAAACCCACAAGGCTGTTTAACCAGTAAGTCAAGAGTCATAATAATGCACATGGCATATAATAGCTTCCACATTGATATATACACCGAAGATTATTAGATTAATTATGAGATATTTGTTAATTCGATTAGCCACTAGTACATATCATCATATAATCCTGAAAATTGAATTCAACATATGAGAGGTGGGGGATTAATAATTCTAAACGGGGAAAAGAAGTGGACAATACATTAAAAGCTAGAAATTAAAGCATAATTAAGAAAAGGATGAGACACAATGATTTTTGTAGTGGAAAGAAAAGGAAATTTCTCGGAATAATTCATTCAATTGAAGTAAATACTTTTGGTTTTATGTTTTTAATAAAAGAACCACATGGACTCCGCAATACATATATATCAGCTGTTAACTAGTACGTCAAAGTCAGCTATTAACTTTTCTTGAAAATGTAAATAACATAATCCATTTTGGAATAAAATGACTTGTTATATTTGTTAACAAAATTTAGTAGCAAATAAGCTTTAACGCAAAAAGAAAATAAAATTTGGAAACTAATTTGCAAGTCTTGGTCAAGTTAATCATGAGAATTCAAGTTCAACAACTAATTTAGCATAATTAGAACCTTGATTAATTAAAAAAAAAAGCATTATATATAATATCAAGAATTGTTACTAATTTTGCCGAAATCACTGATGTTCTAATGGAAGACAATTGTGTGGATCAAGCAGTTCAATAATTCTAAGCTTTTTGACAATTAAAAGAGAAAAAGAAGTGGATAATAGAGTAAAAGTAAAAAATAATATTATATAAATGGAAGATGTGTCAACGAGAAAATAAAGTCATATTAATTTATATATACTGTATTAATTTATATAATTAGTTTATTATACATATAATACTACTTAAAAACAAATAATTCTAAACTTTATGGATAATATGATAATAAAATAATATTACATTTATGGACCACCTTAATACTGTAATAATATTTCTAAAATGGATCACATTATGATGATAATAGCATAAGAAAATACGATAGTCAATAACATGAAATTTACTGAGAGGACAGATTGTGTGGTCTAGACTCCACCAGCCTACGGATAATGCTGCAAAGGACACACTGACACTGCCGGCCAGAAGACTGTAATTTTTCTGAAATCCTGCCCTGGATTCCTCATGTAATGTTTCAGCCGTAGTGTGAAATTAACCACGTGATCCTGCAATAATGGACTCATTTTTCAACCTTGTGGACTCCACCTTGATGTTACAATACATCTGACTAAAGTTTCAGCTTTGCAGATCATTTAGTGGAGATTACTATTGAGTTGCAAGGAAATTTATCAGAAAGGGGATATGTTACGTCCCCATTTATCAGCTGCTTGTCTTCTGCATTGAAGGTTTTCAACCACCAGCAACTTTTTCTTCAATTCTTTGAGCTCTGAATCTACCCCTTCCAAC